GCTTGGGGTTCCTGGAGGAGCTGGAAGAGGCTGGAGAGGGAAGACTGGGCCTCCCTTCTGAAGCTGCTGCTCCTGCAACCCGACCCGGATAAGTGGAAGAAACTGGATGGATGGATGGATGGATGCCCAAATGAACCAATCACTCACTGCTGTGCCATTGATCCAGACTAAATGTGATCTGGAAGCTCCTCAGTCGTGCTAGTTATCGTTCTCTGGCCACTGATGATCTTCTCTGTTCAGATGTCTGTCTCCTTGGGATGATGGTGGCAGAGAAACTCCTGCTGACCTGGAATCAGACAGTAAACCAGTTCAGAGCTCTGGTTGGAGAAGTAGTTCGGGTTTCTAGCCAACTATCATCAAATAGTTTCATCAGTTTTTCTGATTTCCTCCCCTGGAGTCCCTCAGGGTTCTAGTTTCTCTGTTTTACCCTGATGACTGATTCTCCTCACAATCTAATGCTGATCTGGTGAATCTGCTGATGCCGGTCCTGCTCTCTGGATCCTGCCTGAGTTTGTTACCTGGTGTGAATCAGCTGGTCTTCACCTTAATCTACCCAGGGAGGTTCAGGTGATATTCTCAGGTAGACAGCAGGCAGAGGCCTCAGCTCCGTCCAGGTGGAACTTAGTGGAGACTACAGAGGTGAAGCTTCCTAATTTCAGAGGAGATTCAGTGGAGAAACATCCAGAGGTTAAGGAAGCTGAGATCCTCGAGTCGGTGAATCAGTCTAAGATTTTTATCAACATTGTAAACATTTTCATTTATTTTCTGCTTCTGATCAATTTTCCTCCAAAAATTGGACCGGTCTGGAGAAAATCACCAAAATGATACATGGTACTGTCGGATCCATCCTCCCTCATCACTCGATGGTAAAATCTCCCTGCAGGATGTTAAATGATCGGGTTCCTCTGCTCTCAGTGTTTACCGACTCCATCTGACCAGAGGAGGAAAACCTGGTTTCCCCCAGGACTGAACTCTGACCCATCTGAAGCAGGTTCTGTTCACGTTTAGAAACTCTAAATATTTTTTACATTTACCAGCTTTTTATGATGAAGCCTTGGCGTAAATCCAAACTGGAAGACTCTCTATCATCATCCAATCGGTGCGACTAGTTCATCTCCATCGACCTATCAGCACCGAGCCTCGTCACGGCCAATCACAGACCAAGCTCCTGCTGATGGATGATATTTTAAATAGAAACATTTCTATGTTTTCAGGGTGTTTGTTGTTTGAGGTTTTTCTCTGTTTCATATTATTTGTTATTATTGAACCTTTTATAGAATAATAAATCTCATCATCATAGAGATGAAGCAGCTTTAAAAATGATTCCTGCTGCTTCAGCCTGAAACTTGACTGAATCTCAAAGCTTTTAAAGCTGCAGTCCTCCTGTTAGTGCTGCCCCCTGTTGGCTAACCTGAACAGCTGTTCACCTGCAGTGCTCAGCCTCCAGCTGTAGCAGCAGCGCCCCCTGCAGGCCTCCTCTGGTACTACCACCAGTGTTTAACCAGAAGGCTAAACTCTTCCTCCTCTTCCTCTCCAGGTCTGCAGCTCTCAGTGTGGATCAGCCACCTTCCAGGCCACAGCGAGGTGAGAACAGAACCAGAACCTGCTGGTTCTGATCCAATCACCTGGGGCCTCATGCATAAAGCGGCACAAAAAAAGTGCGGTCCCGTATTTTACGCAAAAGTCGGCATGTATAAAAATTAACTTTGCGTCAAAGTTTGTGTAAATATACGAACACTTTTTCGCTCGGCGTGAAAATGTGTGAAAATGTGCGGCAGCCACAGAAACTTCATTTGTGAACAATATAAAATTAAAAAGCGTCAAAACTCACCTAAAATCAGTGAAATCTGAAGGAAGGATTCAGAGGGAGGATTGATCAGAGATCATATTGATCTGATGGTTTATTGGTGTCTAGATTCATCCAGACTGATCATCCTGGATCTCTGAGCAGAACTTAAAGACAGAGCTGAGCAGTACCGGTACCGGTCCAGCTGCAGCCATCCAGCCTCCCGCTTTGTGAACATAAGGCTTTATGGACATAAAGCAACTTTATTCTGTAAATGTACAACTTATACATGATTCTACTATTAATAAACGTCCAGTTTATTCTGACTCTGTCTCTTTAAATGCCGGCTGACCTGCTGCTGTTCAGATACTCATACTGCTACAAACAAAGCCGTTGCCATGGTTACTGCCCCACGTGGCGGCAGACTTCCGGGTATTTATGCTAATTTACATGAATATGTATTTATGGAGGCGACAGGCAGAGCAGCAGCTGCTGGTTCCTGTAAATCAGGATTTTTTTTTTTACTTTTTATTTACAATTGTTTTATATCCACATGTACCCACAATACAAATACGGATTAATAAAGGAAAGGTGCGCAGCACCTGCGGCTTTATGCATCCGGGCTTTTTGTGCGCCTCACTTTTCTACATTTTTCCGTTCTCCAAGTTTTGGTGTGAAAACTGCGCAGTGTTTTATGCATGAGGCTCTTGGTTCTGGTTCTAATACCGACTGGAACTGGGTAGAACCCGGTACCATCTGACTTCTGGTCCTGACCCAAAGATTCTGGTTCTGGTTCCAGGTTGGTGTTTGACGACGGGACGGCAGAGGCTCATGTCTGGTTGTCGGGGCGACCGGTCCAGACTGTGCTGGGATTGGCCGATTCCCAGTGGGCGGGGCTCCAGAGAGCCGTCAGGGTCAGAGGTCACATCCACGTGTTTCCTGGGGGGCGGAGCCTGGTCAGTACCTTTCTCTGATTGGCTCTCATCCCAGAGGAAAATATAAGTGAAACGATGTCAGACAGAAACACTGAATCCACTCAAGGTTTCCCCAGAGTATTATAAGCCTGGCAGCCCACCAGGCTTTTCTAGCCCCCGCCAGGCTAAGCGTTGCCCGTTTTTGTTTTTAAGAAAATAATAATTTAAAATAATTATTTTTAAAAGCCAGATTGAAAGTGTCTGTTACTCTGAGCGTTTCACTAGCAAAGCAGATTTATTCCCAACGGATGAGTTTATAACAGATGAGTTTATCGTTGATGCATTTAAAGCCAGGAGAGCGACCAATCACAGCGCTGGATCCTCTGCTTGATCTCTTAGGTTTACCTCAGCGCGCCTCCTTTCACTCAAACTGGACCCAGTCTGACCTGTATGGATATTTACATCAACCTCCTGTGAGGAATTATGATTCTTTAGAGAACTCCACATCAGGGTAGGAGTTTAAACCCACCATGTTGCTCTGGTTGCACAGCTCTACGTGAACCACAGGAATAACTTGTAGTCGCTTTCAGAGGAGCAGTGAGGATGATTTATATTTGTGAACCAACAGTTATATGGGTCGTTTCCATCTCAACTCGCTGCCCAGCGTCTGTCTCTGTCTTCCCTGTAAAGTTCATGTCTGTGATCCCGGTTGGTCGGAGCGTTAGCGGCTAACCAACCAGCGCTAACCTCATCATGCAGGTTCAGCCTGGGGAGGAGCTTTAGCGCTCACATCATGCTGGTTTTATATCATTTTATTATTATTTTTCCAGTTACATGATGCATCAAATTGTATCAATGCTTTGTCCATTTAGAGTTGATGTGTGGCTGTAACTGGGTCTATATTAGTCAAATCAAATCTAATTTTATTTTTATAGCACATTTCAGCAGGAAGGCATTTCAAAATGCTTTACATCATTAAACCCAAAAACAGAGTCATACAACATTGAGTAAACAATCAAAAACATTAAATTTCATATCAAAGTTCTGCCCTTCAAATCCAACCTGCACCTT